GGGAAGGGGCGGGGGGGGGGGGGGGGGGGGGGGGGGGGGCAGATGGAGGGAGGAAGAGTGGGAGGGAGTGGAACTGGGACAGGCCACGGGCAGCTCACCCAGGGGGTGCACAGCAGCTCCCTACCATTGGGTGGGGTGGCTATAACCCCCTCATAGACCTACCTCCCAGCGCCGCAGCCGCCTGCCCTGCCCTTGGTTTGGTTTGGTTTGTCCATTTTGGGTTTGGTTTTTGATTTTTTGGGGGGTTTTTTAAACTACACTTTGTAATAAAATTCCAAAATCTTCAAAACATACTTGTTTCAACAAAACTTTCAGTTGAAATGTCTTCTGAGTTCAGTATATTGGGAGAGGGAGTGAAGAGACAAATGTATACCTTCCAGAACAGTGACTCAAGTCATTAAGATTCAAGACACCACTTGAAAAAGGCTCTTACACTTTCCTTCTTTTTGACTATGGAAAAACAACAGACCAATTCTTTTGTTGCAAAGAACACGGGCCACAACAGATCAGAATGTTTTTGATGCTATGGATTCCTATGTGAAATACCTAGGTTTATCTTGTAAGTCATGTGTAGGTTTTTATTGTGTTACCCTGGTTAAGAATCACTGATCCACAGTGCCCAAGAACCTCATGGTTAGGGCATTTACTTTGTAGGCAGAAGTTCTAGACTCTAATCACTGCTCCAAATCAGGCCAGGGAAAGAATCTGAACCTGGGTTTCCCATACTTTGGGCAAGTATCCAAGTAAACTACTGCCTCTTCAGTAAAGGTAGGAGTACCTCCACCTTGGGGTGTTTTTTTGGCAAAGAACCTGAACAGTTTGGTTTTTCTTCCAATACAGAGCAACTAAACACCAATGATTTTCATAAAAACATCGTTCTTATTTTCTAACAAGCCGCAAGGTCATAGTTTCTTGAGGTCAAGTTTGACTGTATTTGAGGAACCAACTAAATTTAAATTGTTTCTTAAAATCTAGCTATTAATCAACTTAAATCACTCAAAACCTTAAGTTCATTAATAGAATTAGATTGATTTTTTTTATTTATTTATTTGACAAACAGTGATATTCTAAACTACTATAATGTGATCAATTTTTATAGGCCTATCTTTGGACAATTTGGGGGCTTTTTTGTCTTGTTTTTAACTGCAACTTAATTTAAGAAACTCTAGTAGAACAGATCTGCCTTTAAGCAGCCAAGCAGAATAAAAACAATTCATACTAACATGTCATGTAAGGCCCCTCCCAGTCATCTCTGACAGGTATAATAGCACCACTCAACAATGAATAATTCAGTTTTGATTACTAAGCCTGTATGTTCCTAATCATGGCATTCAGAAGAATTCTAACAGCAGCATACTAAGACCCAGGGAAAAAATGATTTTACTGAGTTAACAGAACAATACTGACAGACTTAAAAAAGGAAGTTTGAGCTAACGGTAAACATTTGGGGGCAGGAATTATTGTCATCTTTGTATAGGACCTAGCACAACGGTGTCCTTGTCACTGCTTTTTAGGCATTTCAGCAAAACAGTTCACCTAGAAACCCTGGTTATAACAACATCTGAACACCAGAAAAGACTTTCATATCCATTTCCCAATTTTATCTGTTAAAGACCTTTAATTCCTATATGTAGGCTATCTACAGAAGTACTTTTCCAAGAAAAACTTTACCAGAAAAGACTTCAACAATTTCACAGGTACTACAAGGGAGGAAGAACAAAAACTGGACAGACAGAAGAGAACAGAATAGTCACAGGAATATTATACAGTTGCTCAATGATGTCATGTCTTAAATGAAAGAAATTAATAAATGATCAGCTAAGTAATAAGTCATTATCACAGATTTTATGTATAGTTTATATACAATATAAACTATTGCACAGACCATATAGTCTATATGCAATAGAATTATTTCTTCTTCCAATTCTATGTACACATTTTTTACAATCACAGCATTCAAAAGTAAATACATCTAGAGGTATATGTGCAAAACAAAAATCCCACTTTACTAAACACACCAAAAATGTTAAATTTAATTAAAACTTTAAATACTGTACAAAGAAAGTAGTCTAATATTCCTTGCTTTTGTCTAGCATATAACTGGAATGGACACACGCATACAATTCCCCCAACACTTGTAGATTCTCATATAAGAGAATGCCAGATTCAAGAAAAACACAGTAACTCAATTGCCAGGACTGGGTTTCAAGCAATGCTTATATTTTAAAGGACTTGGTTGTCTTCACTCAACAGTTAACTTGAGTTACTATCACAGCAAAACATTTAATAGAGTGATTTGATAAGCAGATTAGTAGCTGATTAGTTGCTCCAACTACAGCTGCTGAATCCCTGCTGCACTATCAGCTCAAATCAGTAACACTAACTCAACTCAGACCCTGACAGGCTAACTAGCTTAAAACATCCAGCTAAATAAAGTTAGGTTTTTGTATGCGAACAGGAACCTGGTTAGGAACAAAACTTTTGATTTATATCTCAAGCTAGCAATGCAGTGAAGACAAACTTTATATTTAATTCTGTATGTTCCTAAAACACTTCAAAGTTTTGCAGTGCAAGCATACAAATTACTTAATTCCACAAAACCTAAACAGATATTCTAGCTCCTTTGCGCTCATTTGGAATAAACATATCTATGCAATTACACCAAATAAAAGTCAACTTAGATATTTAATATGAAATGGATGTCAAATCATCCATTACCTGACTGGCAATACAAACACAAAGTTAAACACAGCTACATATGAAAATGTAGTATTCCGTCTTGGTGTAAAAACTAGAAATATCCATTTTAAAAATCAGCCAAAGAAAAAATAGTTTAAACAAATTTTAGATACATTTCTGGCAATTAACATTTGTAGGTTTTGAGAATGCCCATGTACCCCTATGCTTATGATTATTACAATCTGATTACATGCTCACATTTAGTAATATGCAATACCTACTGTCAATGGTCAGCACTCTGCCCTTGCATTCATGCTGGACTATGCATTGCAAAAGGCTGATATGCTACATGTATAGTGAGAAGTAGCAGGATTACTCCCAAATCAAAGTTAAACAGAATATTCCCTATGCAAATATAAACTACAAATAGACTTTTAAAGCAAGTAGTGAGAACAACTAATATTTCCTTTACTACAGTGTATCTGACAGTCGACTCCGAGTCTTTGACAAGATTGTGCGGCGAATCTTCAAGTTAATTTTATGTGGCTTTGCCCAAACTGAATATTTTTTTACTACTTTTCTTTAAAAATCACTCCATCCTGTTTTGCAGATTTTTACATTATTTAACAT